AGGCAATCATTTCTGGAAGAAGTACAAACTTCTTTACAAAGCTTTTTGCCTCACCAGAAGGCTTTGATGTGAAGGTCTTATTATCCCTAGCTGCTGTTGTTATTTTTCAGTCTCTTGTTTCGGGTTTTTTCCCCTCTAATGGATGGACCAATGGAAGCAGGGGACATCACGTGCTGGGCGTGCAATTAGTTTTAGAATCAGATCTTTGGCTTCCGATGGAGTAACACAGTATATAAACCTCTCTGCGTGTATCGTGAGAGGCGGAGTGAAAGGCTGGCAGACGTGAGGCCTTCATATTGTGGAGAACTGTTTTGTGTGCCCGTTTTGCCAAGAGGTACCTCGTCACTACAGCTGCTTCTTTTTGCGATGCGTGCTGCTGTGTGTGGGGTTGTTCACCGAGTGTAAACATCTTTCAGTAAGGAGTTAAGGTCGCCTGTCCTGTGGCTGGTATGCCTTCATGGAGAAGAAACAGTATCTGTAGTGAGGAAGGAACTAAAGGACCTGTCAGTCCAGCCTCAAGTAAAAGCATTAAGTGATTTTTTTTGTGGAATGCCATGTTTTACAGGCTTGAAACAACATCACTAGTAGCATAGGAGCAATGAGGAGAGAAATCCTGAGGTTCCATACGCTGATACAACAGACGAACTTCTAATTAAAAAAACTCCACACTTTTCTGAAGACCTGCGTTTTAATAAAACAGAAGAAAGTTTTGGCTTGACACGATTCTGCTTCTGAGATGCTTGTTTCTTAACTACAACGGAAGGCGAAGGGATACGGAATGAGTTGGTTCCTTTACAGTGCATCAAAGAGGCCTGGAAAAATTAGAAGCTCTTTTAGTAGGAGTAGGTGTATAATTGAGAATATCTTAACTGGGAGGTACTGAAAACTAAAATGAAAAGGTTCCCTTGGTCAGATTAGGGCAAACCACCACAGGACGAACATACAGGATGCAGCTGTGTTAGAGGGTGGCTATGTTTTGGTAGCTGTTGCATGCGAGATGCTGGCATGTCACCACATGGGATTTTTTTCTTGAGTTCCTTATCATTCTACCAGATCTAGCTGATGTGGTCCACCCAATTTCTCTCCTATTTGAGGAAAAGTGTAGGAGGTATGCTGAAAATGTTGTGTCTCCTTTGAAATGGAAAGTTTTCTTGATGGACCGCAGACCGTCCCCAAAATGCTGACCTTTAGTTGCATGGGTGACTTTTGCACTGATGGTCACTGAATTTAAGTCCAGTCAAGCTCTTACCATTCCGGTGCTTTCCAGAGTTACCTGCTGTGATCGAGTCCAGTGGAGGAAATGAAGAAGTGGATGTTCATAAAACCTTGCCGTAGCTTCTCCTTCTGTTTCTCTCGCAGAACAGCTCGAAATGGGGCAAATGGAATACTACTTCTTGTACTTGTGGAAGTTGGATTCCAGCTGTCTTTCTTAGAAACTTATCTTTCAGCCTTAGAAACTGAATTAAGCTCAGGAATTTCCAACAGAAGTTTCTTTGGGTTATATTAGTGCACCAACAGGAGTCACACCCCCTTAGGATGGAATAAAGTAGCTAAGGGAAAATAGGCTGCAGTCCTCGAGACCTGATGGACATCAGTTCTTGCAAACATTCCTGGGCCTTATTAGTGTGGTGTGAGCATGCTTCGCTGGGTGTGTGTCTGCTCGGTCACCTTTTGCTCATTGTGGTGTTTGCCTTAGCAGCAGCAGTAGCTTCAGTGTGTTTTCATGAAATCACCCTGGGGCCTAGTGTGATCCACCACCCGAGCCCCTTGTGCAACATGGTTGGCTTCAACACGGCTCAGCGGAAGAGACAAACAAAGATGGAAGGAAACTGCAGTCCTCACCCCAGGAGCAAACCAGTACTGCAGCTCCAGGACCAAAGTGGTCGCCTACAGCTGCTTTTGGTCCTGTGAACTTGATCTCCTGTCTCTGGATCTTTGGAGACAGAGGTCCTCTAACAGAACGTGGTGTCCAGCAGGAGAAACCACAGGTGTCGGGACTTGCTCCAAAAGGCAGTACAGCTTTGTTGCTAGTTTTATAAAATTATATAGACAGTATTTTTTATAAGTCTGTGTTCTCTTGGAGTGTAGATGGGTAGATATATTTATTATAGGTTAGGTCTTGAGAGAACTGCAAAAGGAATAACTGAGCACCTGAGTGAAAAGTAAGTACCTCACCAGCGCTGTTGCCATTGCTCATTTCTGATTTGCCCAGAAAAGAAGGAAATAAGAAACTCCGAAATACAAACCTACGCTACATAAAACTAGGATCTAGCAACAGAGTATTAGAATTAGAGTGAGAATCTTCTACTTCTCTCCCTGTGTGAGTGCAGACGGCCCTGTCCTGCCCCGCTCTTCATGGGCATGCGAGGAGGGATGATACAAAGCAGGTTGCTCCCTGACACATGGCATGCTGGAAGGGTTGGAAGGAATAGCGTTGCTTAGATGTGGTGTGGGGGAAAAGCTTTCCAGTTTGTAAATGCGTACCCCAGACTCTTGGTTATCTGGTGACTGATTTCATCACTACTCTGATGGACCAGAATCTGCACGAGGGTAATTATTTTGGGAGGGGAAGCTTGCAGTCGGTACAGTCAGGTTTGAAGCATCGTTAAACTGTCATAGAAGGTCCTTCCTAAAAAAGGCACAGGTGGAGAGGACTTTCCTACGGAATGTGAGAGCCACTACAGTGACTCCCGAAGGCTCTAGGAGCTGGTCTGAAGGGACCTGTAGTATGACAGGAATGTGTGTAAACCAGCTGACTGACAAATTTAATGGTGACTAACTTGATTAAAACTAGAAGTGGCAGGAAGTTCTTTTGTCGGCTGCTGGTGCAAGCTGTTCCTTGTTCCTGGGCCTCGTAAAGACCCACTTTAGACTGAACTTCTCTTGAGTTGTTTCTTTTCCCCAGCTGATGATTGAGAGAACCTGCAGAGTTGCTGTAGACACAATACGCATGTGCCCTTCTAGTGTGTTTGCTGAAACTGCAGATTGAAGAGGGTGGTTGAGCTCTAAACTGACAAGCTCTGCTCCCGAATAACTGAAGTAATAGTCCAGACCTCTTCAAAATGACTCAATTTTTGACCAGAGACAAATCAACACCACCAGAGTGGTGTTGATTATAGCCTGTTCCCTATAAACACTCTGAAAAAAAGGTCTATCTAAATAATCATTCAGCCAGACCTGGTCACACCCTCGGTGCTTGGCAGCTTCTGGAGTGTTTTTTTCCTGATAACACTCAACCCGTGTCTTTTTAGCCTGACGTGCATTACAGCTCTGCGAGCTGTGCGTGCGTGTGCTCGAGTCGCACATCTGTGGTTCCAGCAGAGCTGGTTTAGTTCTGAATTGCAGGATCAGCCTTTTGAATAGCAGAGTGAACGACTGGTTCCAGTGATGAAGTTTGCCTGCAAAATGGCTCCGTCACATCACGTGAAAGTAGTGATAGTGTTCTTTTCCTTCTATAAATGTAGTTGCAGGCAAAGACTGAAGTATGCCATGTGCAAGAAACAGCAGACCACCACAAACCCCAGTCAAGCCACTTTTATTATTTAACTTACTCTTAAGAATTCTGATCTTTGGTAATGTATGGTAATACACAGACCTGTCAGTCCACTGCCCTCCTCTTTTTGGGGCTGCAGGTGGGAGAGAAAACGAAAAATAACAAAAAAGTGAGACTTCACGTGAACGATCCCATTCCAGCGGTTTTAAGGGCTCAGGTACATTGGAAGTGGTGCTGGGGAAGGGGCAAACTGGAGGCACTGGGAAACTGCCCGTCTGAGTAAAGCGACCCTGAGTCATGGTGGTGTGTTTGCATACCACGTAAAATTTTTATTAAGGGGTGGGGAGGACTACAAGGCAGGAAAAGGGGAACTAGTAGGCTTTTATAAAGTGTGTCTAGATATTGTATGAGATGTTAGTGTTTATGTAACACTTGCTGAGTATCCGGAGTGACTGGGGCTGGCTGGTGTGGACAGACGTCTCGCTGGGCCTATGGAGTTCTGCTTCCAAGCTTATCAACACACCTTTTCTGCAAATAAAACTTAAGGTAGTTGATGGAAATGCTGAGTTAAGTGACAGGTAAGCAGTCTGCCGTGTCCTTGGGGCAGCCTGATTTTGGGTTAAGACTGTTAGAAATACCTTCATAGAATTAATTTTCTGTTCTAGCAGTCTAATAAAGCAGCTGTTTAGACACAAGAAACTCCTTTCAAGAGCCTGACTGGCTTTTTTTTGTTCTTGTGAGCTTTGTTCCTGCAGAATTTTGCTTTGTGCTTCACTGCTGTGTCCCGTGTTAGGGTCAGTGGTGTGCTCAGTGCGCTTTCAGGCAAACAGTCTTTGTTGCGCAGGTTGGTGGACTTAGGACTTAGGTGTGTGCCCTGCAAGGCCAAAGTGTTGGGTTCATGCTTCAAGATCGATTAGAATTTGTTGGCCTTGTGGAAGAAAAGGGTATTTTTGAAACAGAATTAGGTCTGTTGGGGTCTTTGAGGCATAGAGGGCAGAGCTGAGTGAAAACAGGCAACGGGGTCTTGCAAAGTGGGAGTCTTCAACACAAATGCAGACAGCAGTGTTTATGTAAGGGAATCCCTATATGATAAATTGTGTGGTTTTAGAAAATGGAATGAAGAAATGAACTAGCTGTTAGTTGTTGTAATGGGCATGAAGATGTGGTGTTGGTGTGTATCACCTGATGTACCAGGCAACACACAGTTGTCTGGTGATGACAATTCCAAATCTGGATAAAGAAAATTCCACCACTCTAATAAAAGATAAAGCACAGCAAATACATCCTTCTTTTATGCTTTTTGACCAGTTCTTTGGGCGGTGATAGGAATGAAACAGTTTGGATTGCTGGGGTAAATTGATGTCCTGATGAACAGCAGCCTTTTCACTGGGGCCCCAGGCAGTGGCCGGGGGGAGCACGTCTCCGAGGCAAAGCTAGCTGAGGTGCAGTACCTGCGGGCTGCTCTGAGGCTGTTGATCTGATTCTTGTTTTTTTTATTCTTTCAGATGGAAAGAATGCGAGTGGATCCAAACAGCGTTATAATCGTAAAAGAGAAACTTCATATTCAAAAAATGAGAACTTTTCCAGTCAGTCCCGTCGCTCCAATTCACAGAAAAGCAAAGCTTTTAACAAAATGCCTCCTCAAAGGGGAGGTAGTGGCGGAAGTGGCAAACTTTTTAGCTCTTGTAATGGTGGAAGACGAGATGAGGTGAGAATTGTAATGCCGTGCCTCCAAGGCCTTCTTTCTTGGGACGAGAGGATCGCTCTGACCTGCCTAGACAGCTTACATCGTTGAGATGCCAGAGTGAGTGTGAGCAGAACAACTTGGCAACAACAGAAGAGGAGTGCTCTCTGCTCTGAGAGACTTGCAATAAAAAATACCATCTGAGGAATGGGCACCTAGGCAGGCCGTGTGCCTGTCTCGTGAAACCGAGGTCCTTCATGGAAATATCTAGTGATACAGTTTCTAGCTTTTAAGTCTGAGGTGATTGTGTCTAACCACTTCAGTGTACAAATTTGCATGTGATGGTGCTATTGGGAAAGTAATTGTATTAGCCTTGGTGACATCGAGATGGAGTAAAACCAGACTGAGGCTTTTATGCTGATGTGGGTCTAAATACTGTAGACTATTTGTGGGTTTTCATTGATACTCTGATTTTTCAGTTTTAGTGGATGAGCAACACTGCTCACCTAAATTGCTGACTGTCAAAACTCACCTGCTGTCTCTGTTGAATTCTTGTTCTTTGCTTCATTATGTGAAAACCAACCAAAACAAGTACAACCTATGCAAACAGTATTCAGACTTGTGTTACCGGCTGTCTGAAAGAATATTGTCAGGATTTGAACAGTTGTTCTTCTGTTATTAACCTTGACTACTAGGTTTTGCCAGCTTTTACTTGTCCTTATGTGGGTTGTTTTTATGCTCTCTTCCTTTTCACCAGTGTGGGGTAAGACCACTCAGTTCTAACTTTCAGGCTCTCATGCGCTTCTAACGCTGCACTGCTTGATTTGCAGAACTGGAATGGGAGAAGGTAAGTGAGTGGATGCTGCGTATTCTGTACGTAATCACTGATGGGGCCCGGGGATCAACTTGTACTGATGCTTTTGCAGTAAATTCTAGCAAGTTCTAACAAATGCTGTTGTCTCTTAGGTAGCAGAGGCTCAGCGGGCAGAGTTCAGCCCTGCCCAATTCTCTGGTCCCAAGAAGATTAATCTGAACCACTTATTGAACTTCACTTTTGAACCCCGTGGCCAAGCAGGCCATTTTGATGGGAATGGACATGGCAACTGGGGGAAAAGGAACAAGTGGGGACATAAACCTTTCAACAAGGAGCTCTTCCTACAGGCCAAGTGAGTGGAAGACTAGCAGGGCTCTTAGACTTCTACAGAGACACTGAACTGTAAGGGATGATCAACCAGGGAATTGTGTTTGACCTTGGCGACTTGTATTGACTTTTCTAGGATGAAGTTACCTCTCTGTAGTGTTTTTAGTGGTAACAACTATACTTGAAAGGGATGAAAACATCTCAAGTTGTTGTCTTTACCTATTGATAAGGTATCTGATGGAGGAAGTTCTTCAGACACAAATCAGTTAGTCTTCTGCGCTAATTTTCTAGCATTGCTTGTGCGATATGACACTCCCTTTGGGAATACCTATGTAGTTCCCTTACGGGAAAGACGGCTGTTTGCTCCAAAAAATAATATGTTGAGATGGTAGGGGTAGCAGTCACTGGACGAAAACTAATTTGAATTTTAAAGTCCCAGAAGCAATTAGTCATATGGGTCTTGGTTCTTAAACTGCTGATTATTTTACAGGCCCCTAGGTATGTAGTATAACCCAAATGAGGGTCGGTATAGTAATCCAGCAGCAGAATTGCTTTTGACTGGAAACAACGGTCACTTTCTCTGGAATTTGAAGTGTGTTCAGGACTTCCTGTATCTGATCATGTTAAAGATAAATAGAATAATAACTAAAAATAAATAAATAAAAGCTATTTTCAGCATTGATGCTTCTGATTTTCCCTATTGTTTTGTGGCTTATTGTAGTGAAGTCTATTTGCAAGAACCCTGGTAGTTCTAGTTTTTGTGACCATACTTTTTCCACTTGTGGATTCCCTGTTTTTTAATAGATCCCCAGTGGAGCTGGCCATTTCTTACATGTTTCTGGAAAACCACTCTGCCAGGCGCATTCTGTAGTTAGTATGTGATGCTGTGTCTAGCTGAAATTAGACACACCTGTATTCTGGAAATCTGGTTGTGAATTTGAGCTCTTGTTTTTGTTGGTAGAAGTTGCTGACTGCATCCAGTAGTTTTCTGCTGGACAAAGAAGCAGCTCAGAGAATCCTGTAGGATAGTTCTCAAAGAATTTTTAGAAAAAACTGAGTGGATCATCTGTCTCTTTGCCTTTCCCCAGCTGCCAGTTTGTTGTCTCTGAAGAACGGGACTACACAGTCCACTTTGCTGATCCAGATACCTTGGTCAACTGGGACTATGTGGAGCAAGTGGTCAGTTGTGATGGGCTAGATTTTTTTTTTTCTTTCTTCTTATTACGAAGCTCAACCTGTCTTTAACTGCCTCGTTATCTCTGTGATGTTACGTAAAACTCAGCTGTTTTTGAGTTGAGGCCTCTTCTGTCACTCCCACAATACTGGAAAAGATCTGTCATGGAATATATTATGAAATACTTTCATGACAGGAAAAGAGAAGTGCTAAAATCTATTAGGAAAATTAGCAGCTGCTTCTTGCTTTCGCAGATGGGAGCTCATCAAAAATAGTATCTGACATTCTGTAGACAGAGTCCTTGTGATCGAGATATTAACACAAAACTTGGGCGTGAGTCCATGGAAGAGGACTAGAGTGTAGAATTTTGAAGAATTATTCTGTGCATAGGTGGCCCATCTTGCCTAGCAACAAAATGGAAAAATCTCTTTTGAGAATTGTGGTCAGAACTTTGGGTTGCCTCAAGTAGAAACTTACTGTCTGCCAGGACTAGTCTTGGTCTATGGTGTAGCTGGAGAGGAGGTAAGCTTACTGTTACCTGACGTTCCAGGAGCTGAAGAATCTAGGTGCTTACTTGGCAGTTATGTCTCTGCAACATACAGATGCTAACAAAGTGTCTGACTAAACTAGCATGTTCATGGAAATGGGTAAGTTCAGTCTCACAGTTAAGTAGGGCTGCACAAGTCTGCTTGTGTAAGTGAGGGACAGAGCTCATCTGCTGTCTTCTCAGTGTCTTGAGTTCGGATGATGAAGATGCTGCTAACTCCTAGAGGTGATGAATATGTGAGGGGAAACACGAGGAGTCACTTTTTTAATGTCGTTAGAGTAGAAATACCAGATGGGTGGCTTTGAAGGTTGTTCCGTGTGCAGTCTGAAGGTGTGACTTGGTTCACAGTGTACTCAATTTCTTAGTAAATAAGCAGAGCCGAAAGAGCTGGAAGATTAAGATATTGGAGTAGATCTTACAGGTGTCTTATTCTGTAGCACAGGAACTGATTTCCAAGTCTAAAACTTGTGCTGTTCTTCTCGTGTGCCATTTCAGCGAATTTGTAGCCATGAAGTGCCCTCTTGCCCAATATGTCTGTACCCACCAACCGCAGCAAAGATCACCCGCTGTGGGCATATCTTTTGTTGGGCATGTATCCTTCACTACCTCTCCTTGAGTGAAAAGGCCTGGAGTAAATGTCCTATTTGTTATGGCTCTGTTCACAAGAAGGATCTCAAGAGGTGAGACCTGATATTTGTTAAATGATGTATCTTTTTGAAATGTAACTTTTACCCTGCTAACCTCCTCCTTACATTGCAGTGTCGTTGCTATGGAAACACGTCAATATGCAATTGGTGATATCATTACAATGCAACTTATGAGAAGAGAGAAAGGTGTTCTGATAGCACTGCCCAGATCTCAGTGGATGAATGTGGTGCAGCCTGTTTGCATCGGAGGTGAGTGTATCCGAGTACTGGTGCTTTGCATCCTACTCCTCATTGCGTCTAGGACTTGTCTAGAGAGGATTTACCACAGCAATGCCATGCTGTCGCCTTAGAATAGACCAGGCTACAAAACATGTGTTTTAGCAGCTGAAAACCTTAATGGCCACATCTTAATAATAAGCTTTCCACCCACACTTTGTTTTTTGTGAGGCTTTACCTTGTGCGCTGTTTCCCTTCAAGGTACTGCACTGCAGGCTCCTGCCTTCTCAGTCATCAATTTGATCTGCGTTTTGTGTTGTACTGTCATCAGTGTGACTCTTGCTGCTTTTGTTGGCTCTTCAGTTTCCTTAACTTTTTTTACTCCTAGCTTCCCATTATACAGCTTAGCAAAAATAACTGTCTCTGTGTCTAAACTATTTCAAGGATGTAATGTTCAGCAAGGTTTTCGTCTTCTTCACTTATCAGCTAAGATCTGTGAGTGATCTGGGAAAATAATCAAAATTACTGCAAACCTATTCCAAACATCTGTTGCCTGACTTCTTCAGTTTTTTTCCAGTCGAGTAGTATGACTAACACATCATCATCGTATCTGTCAGTATCACGAAAATTTTGTGACTGAAGAAATAATTTTACTTAACATTGCTGTTTTGTGGGCTGTCTTGGTTCACTTCATCTTGCAGTCACATTTTGCACAGAAAGGCTGTGTGCATTTAAACTCTCTCTGTAAACAAAGTCAAGTCTCCTAAGGGATGATGGGTAGCCAGCATGCAGGCTGTGTGCTTACGTGTTCCTCAGTATTTGAAAGTAAAAGACCTTAAATTCTTTCATAAAACAAACAAAAGAACAAATACGGGATTTGAGATTGTTCTAAACCCAGGAAATTAAGTTGGTGTTCTGTGGACAAGGTTGGTCCCTTGGGAAGCAGGGAATGTATGGACTGTACTGGTATGTGATGTATGGCTGCTGTAAAGTTTATGATTAAGATAAGCTCTTTATTAACACAGAAGAATACATTTTGCTAAACTTGCAATTCTTTAGTTTACTGTTTCTGCTGTGTTAGTTGTGAAAACCTCATAATAAGGTTTTGTACGCATTTTGAATACATACGGGCTTATGAACTAGTTTGAGCCAAAGCAGAAGTCATGTCTGGAGAACTTTCCAGTTGCAGTATTTTTGAGTATATAGAAAAGAAGCACTAGCTTGTGTCATCAGTGATACAACGGTAATATGCAGAGTCTGCAGCAAACTCTTGCTAAGTGCTGTCCAACCTGGAGTGGATTAACTCTCAAAATCGAGCGGTAACAAAACTTCAGAAGAAACCGCATGAATAGGTACCAGTTTGAACTGCGGATGTTAATGATTTGGTGCTCCTTCTGTTCAGATGACCAGCACAGTCAGTATTCAAAGCTGCTTCTGGCATCCAGGGAGCAGGTCTTGCAGCTGGTGATTCTGGAGGAGAAAGCAGCATTACTAAAACAGTATGAGGAAGAAAAACACACGCCAGAGGCTTGCTTTATTGAGGCAGCTATCCAGGAACTGAAGGTGAGAACCTCTCTGGAAGCTTTTAGTAACTTTATTTTTAACAGTGTGCTGAGTGCTAAGCATCTGTGATTCTGCTGCATAAGTGTTTGCGTGTGATTATTCTGGTTTTCATGATGTACATACTAGCAAGGTGGTGATGTTTACTGCTAGAATAGCATCATAAATCTTGGAGGAGGCTATAGCCTCTGGACCTCAGGTGTTTGGCGTGATGTTCAAGATAGAACAGAATGCTTTTTACTGAATGGTATTCCTTCCATAAGTGTAACAGAGTTCTCCTTTCAAAGGAAGATGTGTTTCCCTTTCAGGTCCAGCAATTCCTGGGATAACTTTTATCAGGCAGACGTGATCAAACCTGTAGAATATTCCTTTTCAAAGCCTTTACGTGTCCTACAATGGATGCGCTTTCCAGTAACAAGAAGGAGAGGACCTCCCTTCTTCAAGGGTGACTCTTTTGTTCTAGATGAACAATAGTCCTGTGAGAAGCTGAAGTATAGGACAAGGCTAATAATAACTATGGTGGTAGTCTCCTGGCTTAAATAGGAAATTGAAACTTGTTCTCTTTGGATGACCTGTAGGAGCGAGAAAAAGCACTCTGTGCTGATCAGGATAAAGACAATGGCATTGCTGGAATCAGTGCAGCTGTGGAAGAATTGGTCCTAGAAAGCTCCAAGACTGTGGAGCCTGCAGTTTCCCGAGAGAAAAAGGTGGGCGACAACTCCACTCTGGCAGATATTGTTAGTACTTAATTCTGCCACTTTACACTGCAGTGTGTGGTGAACTAGTGCCAAAGATTTTTGCAGAGATGATAATCTTTAGGAGGAGATGATGTGGTACTAACTGTATGCTCTCCACTGTGATAGTGTGGTGTGGAATATCTCTCTGCATTTGATGAGGAGCTTGTGGAGCCTTGCTCAGATCTGGCAAGTTCTTTTTCGCCTCCTGTGGAAGCAGAAGAGGCAGTGCTGGATAAAGAGGAAGTACCTGAGATGGACACCGTAGGGCAACCAGATACGAACACTACAGAAGAACCAAACCCAGCTGAAACAAGCTGCCAAGAATCTAAAGATACAGTTAGCAGTGGACATCTTAGCAACTCTCCTTTTTACTATTTCTATCAAGGTCAGTGCAATGAAATCCTGCAGTCATGGGTGCAGAGATGCCACCTGTGGGATCCTTCTTGAGGAAGGTGTTTGACACTTCATTAGATGCAGCTAAACCCTATGAAACAAAACTCCCACAGAAACTCAGAAATGAGCTTTAATTTTATTACTGCAGAATGTACTGTGGTGGGGAGAAGGGTATTAAAAATTAGCAAGCAAAAAACATGTGATGATATCTTATCTTATAGCGGAGGATGGACAGTGTATGTATCTTCACCCTGTGAATGTTCGATGTCTTGTTCGTGAATACGGCAGCTTGGAGAAGAGTCCAGAGAAGATAACTGCAGCTGTAGTGGAGATAACTGGCTACTCAATGACAGAGGTAGTCATTTTATCTTCCTATTAATTAAGGGCCCTTGTTCTAGCAGCGTGATCATTGTGGCTGACAAGTGAGACTTGATTCACTTCGGTAATAAGAAATAGTAACTACGAACGAGTAGGCATGCTAATCTGTGAAGGGCATCTGTAAGGCGCGGTACCTTAAGTCGCTTTTGATAAGTAGGCTGCAGTCTAGCTTTTTTTTTTTTTCCCTGGAAGGTAGGAAGATCTAGGAGTAAGGGAACTGCAAGCTTAAGACTGGTTTGTTGCTAAAGCTGTCTTAAAAAAGTTAATTCTTTTCTCATGGAAGACAGTAGCTTGAACTAGACAGATTATCATCTTTCTCGACATGAAGTAGTGTTCTGCCTCTGTCTTGAACAAAGTTGTTTTTGAGCACAAGGGTAGAGGTGGGATGTTATGAAAATGGATGGAAAGAAACTTCAGTGTTTGAGATGGAGTTAAGGTGCTTAAGGCGCTGAAGTTCTGGAAGAGGGAATGGGTCTTGAATTCCTTTACGTCTAATAAAGAGAACTGTAAGAATTGGTATGTGCAGTAACAATTATGTGTAATTCTTAATTCATCTTTAAGAAAGGATATGCTCAAGTAAGAATGGATGCAGAGGTAGTAAGGAGTTGTCTTCCAGTTTTCCAGCTCTGTGAGTTAAAATACAAAACTAGACTGAAACGAGACGAGTAAAGTAGTGGTCATTGATCCAAATAATGTAAGTGTAAAAGACAGATTTGGTCCAGTGCAAAAATAAATGCATCAGAAGACTGGTATTGTAGAATTTTATTCCAGTGATGTGAGTGAGAAGGGAGGAGTAACAAGAAAATAGGTTACCAAGCTGGAGTAACTGCATCCAAATCTGCTGACGATGTAGTTGATGGGGATCTTGAAGCAGTTGGTTCTGACCCAGGGCATCCTTCACCTGTTTGTAGTTTATAAATTGAGTGTTGTGTCACTACTGCTATTTTTTTTCCATTTGATTTGATGAATGTGGGCGTTCTGTCTTCATAAGCTGTTCATCACTATGGTAGCCTCTAGATCTTGTTGCGATAATATATCTGCTCTTTTTTTTTAATCAGGATATAAGACAGCGTCATCGTTACCTCTGCCACTTGCCCCTCACTTGTGAGTTCAGCATCTGTGAACTGGCTCTGAAGCCACCCATCATCTCGAAGGAGACTTTAGAGTTGTTTTCAGGTCGGTACTACCTTTTGAGTAGGCCTTGACATGTGTCCGTGAGGGTGAAAGCGGAAGTCATACTTATCCCTTAACAGCAGGAAAAGGAACATACATAGCAGCTTTACTCCTCTTGCACCAACTGTCTGATGACTGCTAGACAGAACAACCCCAATTCACTGTTTCATAGGCAACAATTATACAAAGAATAAAAAAGCCCGACTGCTTGGAAAAGCGTGTGTTGTTTGTAAGCATGTTTTGTTACTAATGTGTTATAACTGAATACGTTGTTCTCAAAGCTGGAGAAAACATTGCCAAAGTATTGGTGTGTTTATTTGGTACCCGATACTGTGTATTGCTCCTAGATGACCTTGAAAAGAGGAAACGTCTGCGGCAGAAGAAAGCTCGTGACGAACGACGACGTGAACGCAGAATTCAGATAGAAGAAAACAAGAAACAGGGCAAATGTAAGTCGTGATTGAGCCTAACTGGTGAATTTCCAGTCATCTCTAGTTGCTGAGCTGATTTCTAGAGCTGTATGATGAACTCTTAAGGCCTTGAGTTTCTAGTGTGTGCTTAGAACAAGATTACAAGGTATTAGAAACAATGTCTGTAGAGTGAAAAATACAAGCTGTTTTAGTCAGGATGTTAAATGATGTTAGGCAGTTCCTGCATACTTGCACAGTATGGGAGAGACAGAGGGCATGTGAGGGCGCAGCTGTCTCCGTGGTGTATATAGCTCTGAGGATTCTCAGTGTCTGCTTTTGTAGTAATCACGACACAGAGTGAAAAGTGAAGAAGGAAAAAAAAAAATGCCTAGGAACTGCTTCCATCCAGCAGCTGGGCTGGTACTGGTCTCTAAAATAGAGGGTGGAAAGAAAACCCACTTGGCACCTCCTAGACTCCTGAAACAACTTGCATATTGACTCCCACACATTGTGTAGTGCTTTAATTTAAAACCTCTTTCTAGATCCAGAGGTCCATATTGCTTTAGAGAATCTGCAGCAGTTCCCTGCTTTTACCTCTTGCCCTGGAGAAACTACCAGCATTGACCATCAGAGCTTCTGTCTGTCTCCTCTTGGCAGAAGCCCTGTGTTTCAGACAGGTGAGCATCTGGAAAAACACGTCGCATCTAGCTCTTTGATTGTTCTTTTGGGATCTACTGCTCAGGTCATCACACTAAACTTTCTTAACACTGATCAAAGACTGGCTCTTTCCTAGTTTGCCTATGAGATTATACACGAAAGGCTGACACGGCTAAGAAACATTCTGGTCCATTATCTGCTTTTTACTACCTCTACTTCAGTGACAATATGAGATCTGCACTGTAGTTACCCCATCTTTTAAATCTTTGCTGAGGCAGAACAAAAGAAAGGAAAAAAGTTCCCCAAAAAGGGAAGAAAAGTGTGTATGCCAGGAAAACACTACTGGCATTTTTTTCTTTCTACCCTCTCCATTTTCCCCACCATGTTTTACTAAAATAAAATGTAGTTGATCAGCCCTCAGTTAGGTTGTTGTCAGTGATGCTTTACCAAATGTTTTATCTTGCAGTTCATAAAATATTAAATAGAAACTACTCTTAAATGTTTTTCTCAAAACCCAAACAAAACAAAAAAAAACCCCAACCACACAACACCCCAAAATAAGAAAACAAAAACCCCAAACCAAAAAAATCCACCCCAAACTTAAATCTCTCTTAAATAAAAAGATTGAGGAAATTTGGGAGGTTCTGTTGTGTGACTAATGGATGGAACTGATGAGATAAAAATGATTAATTACATAAGATAATAAAACTTTATTTCTGCTTCATCCTGATAAGCAGCATAATGAGCACCTCTGACGCATGCAACTGGCTTTAATGACCTGCTGCTTTCTCTGTAGAGTCTATTCCAACTCCACTGTCACCTGCTGCCAGCCAGGCCAGCCCGTTGCTCTGTGGGAGTTTGGAAGAAGAGTGTCCCTTCCCTTCCTTCGCCCAGGTAAGCCATGCAGCAGAGTCAATTTTGTCAGAATTACTTGTGTCTTAGTTGGGGATTAGTCTGAGAATACAGTTGTTTCCCCCATAAAAACGACGTAGGATAAATCTTAGGGAGACAACATAGGATTTGAGTGCTTGAAAGGGTTCCTAGATTTTCTTGCCACTTTGGTGACCACAGAATTGTTCCAGTGAACGGGATTTCATCATACCTTACAACTTTTTTGATAGATGTTGAGAGTTGGAAAGGCAAAACCAGAAACATGGCCCAAACCTGCTCCAAAGACAAGAGGTAAGAAAATTTGGTATTACTACTTCAGGTTCTTTACCATGCATCTAAATCTAAGAAATCTTGTAACTTCACAAGAAACATCTGGAGGGTGGGGGGGAATTTGCACTATGCAAGTTTTACACAGCCTTCTGGCTCTCACGGCCCTTTCCCGCTTTCAGATGAGAACACTCTGGCCCTCCCTGTGCCAGCGGATAGTGATGGAGAAAGTGACAGCTCTGACCGCATACCTGTGCCCAGCTTCCAGAATTCCTTCAGCCAAGCCATTGAGGCAGCCCTCCTGAAACTGGACAAACCGTCCACAGCTGATCATTTATCAGGTAAAAGGTGGGGCGGGAAGGCATGACAAATTTCTGAAGTGGAAGAAAAAGAATATTTCCACTTCTTCCTCTGGGAGAGAGCAGCAGTTTTAGGGACCAAAAATTGGCCACAGAACAGTTCTGAAAATTGTCAGCTTGTGGTTTCTGAACAGCTTGACTAGGGCTTCTGTTAGCTTAAAGCAGCTCTCTTAGTCAGAGCCGAGAAGATCTCCAGCTAGCAAAGAATCCTGTTAGGACAAAGGTGGCTTTCAACAATCGTGTTTGCCATGTCTCTACTGGAACTTTAATTTAAGCTTTATCTCAAGGAAGTTCAGGTTATGCACTTCTATACTAAAAATACCTGAGCTGCTGAACTACCATGTAAATTTGACCAAAACATCAAGGTGACTGCTAGCTGGAATCTCAAGTTAGGGAGTCTGAAACAAAGATTGAGATAAACCTCCAAGCCTGGTGCTAGCTGATAAAACTCATTTATAATGCCGAGTTCTGATGTTTAGCTTTGGCTTCTGTTTGGTGACTGTACTGAACAGTGGAGAGTTGGACAGGGGGGCCTGGGAGTTTCAGTGACATTGGGTATTGGCTCCAGTTGTGTGTTTTGGCCTGTGTGAAAGGCAAACTGCTGCACACTTGCAGTCCTAGGATCTGCTGTTGCAACAGCAGCTGTTGCAACAACAGCTTTAGAGTCAGTTAGGCACGTTTATAGGTGTGATTTAGGTGTGATGGAGTATCCCTTAGTTTGTCTGCAGTAATTTTTGTTGAAATTAAACTACCTGGTGCTCAGTGAGTTGATAGGAAGTATCACAGACCTGTGGAAGTCATTTAGGCCAGGGAAGACCATTTATCATTTCTGTGTGATGTTCCTGTTCCATGAGAATAATGACAGTATCATTTTAATCCTTCACAGAGGAAAAGGGAGGCAAGAAAAGAAAGAAACAGAAGCAGAAGCTACTGTTCAGCACCTCTGTTGTTCACACAAAGTGATTCTGCTATTCAAGAGAAGTTTCCTCTCCTGGTTTTCTTTTTATTTTGCTTTGTTTTGCTGCTATAGTTTAAGTATTTAAATTTGAACAGACTAAACTTGTGTTTCCAGGGCTTCTAGGGGGTTCAGGAGGAAACCATGACAGTATATGTTGAAGTAAGATCTTTTGATCCCAACTATTCAATCGGTTTATAATGAAACAAATTTTTGAAAGAAACAATCCAGAGACAAATCATCCAAGGCTTCTGGTTTGTGCCAAGTCAGTTCTTTTGGCCTAATAAGCAGTGTCAAAGTTTTTACAGCTGTGTGGTACTGCCAGAATACTGCAATATTACCTAAGTGAAGAGGCAGAGAGCCTTTATTTCCCTGGAAGTATTCATGGGCAGAAGTCCATCTGACTGCAACAGTAGTGCTGTTTCTGTAAAGCTGTCAAACTGCTCTCTTGAGAAGCTGGTTTCCGCTGCACTGGAAGTGGGCAAAAGAGCTTCCTGGCTTTAGAGTGTTGGCTGCTATATCTGTTCTTTTTCTAAAGAGCAAGAATTCCTCCTGTTCTCCTGGCTTGGAAAGATTTAAAGCTGAGGTGAGTGTAAAGCAGAACTTGGCTACTTGGTTTTAGAGTGACTCTTGATGAATTTGTGTATTTCAAAATGCGTACTGGCACTGGTGGTAGAAGGAACCTCCTGGCTTTTCTCAGTTGTTCAACTCCGTTTTAACGTGGGTGAGTGAGGCTGCTAATTCCCCTCCCCCCTCTCCCTTCCCCCCAACCCTGGGCTACGCATTCTTTGTAACCTGGTCATCTAGAATAAACACTCCACCCTAGCGCTCTTGGTAACTACCTGAATGATTTTGACACTGGCTGCTCTTGAATTGGAAGAACAACTGATAGCTGGAGGCTGTAGATAACTTTTATCCCCCAGCAAGAAGCTGCGGTCTCTTGTACTGGGATAAGGGCCTGTATCGGCCTGGTTCTGGGATGCCAGTTGATCTGCACTAAACACTTTGGCCTATAAACATGGCTCTTGTGGATGCCTCCCCGCTGTGTCTTTGGGTGGTCACATTCTGCACTGCTTGTGGTTTGATTTGAGCTAATGAGTTAAGTGGTGTGGGTTTTGTTGAATAAAATGAACTGTAGGTGTCATGTACCTGTCAAGGCCAACAGTTGCAATAATAAATCGTATGCGTGCACACTTAAGAGTACTGCACACTTCCCGAGCTGTCGTATCAGCATGGAGCACACCACCACTTAGTTGCACAGATTCAAATCTTACCTTCCTGCTTGCTGACAGATTTTATGCCAGGGAGCTGGTATAAAGGTACCACCTAACTTACAGTGCAAGACTGACAGGTGTCTGTTATCTTCAGCCCCGCTGGTGCCAGTGGTCTGCCTGCATTTGCGCAGGCTGTGGAAAGTCGATGTGCTCTCTCTCTGACACTGACTGGTCTGAGCAAGGACACGCGTTTGAGGTTCCTGGAGTGGGGTATTCTACCACTTGGTAAATTCATTGGTTGTGTCCCTGGGTAAAAAGTTTGTCTCAGTGTTGATGCTTGATTTCAAAGCAACAGGCTCCATATTATACAAGTGCTTCCTCGGGGTACTGAAGTGTGTGCGCATGGGAAGCTAGTACCAGAGAGGGTACTTCACAAAACTCTGTGTGCAGCTGGAAACCAGAAAGAAGGGGGAGAGGAGGGAGGTAGAGAACTGACTGCTGCAGGAGGATGGAGAAAACACTTGCAAACCATTCTTTGAAAGCAGCTTGACTTCACGCTTGGTCACAAATAACTACACTTGATGGAAAGAGAGTACAGCTTGTCAAGAGAGTGCAAAGAAACTAAGAAAAGATGTCTGAAAGTAGAAAATTATTGGCAAGGGCAGAGAAAGCAACTAAGAAAGAAAGATTATGCAGTCAACTGTTCACAGTACTTTGTTTCCTAATAGTCATTTTAAGCCATGGAACCGGAGTAACTCCTTAAGTGTCTAACCAGTATCTGTTGTGTTCTATTATCTCTGCACATTTATAGTCAACTTTTCTTTGCATTGGGAAGAGAGACAGAATAGCTGGAGCTGGTGTGACTCACCTCCACGTCTCACAGGCACTAGAACAAGCAAGGGAAGTGATGTGGGCAGGGAAGACTGTCCCTTCTGCAGGGACAGTCTCCGCAGGACAGCATCTTCAAGTTGTATCTTGTTTTCCTATGGATTCAAGACATAATACCAGCAATGCTACTTTCCTGTAACTGATTGGTGTAAACTTAATAAATATCTAAGCAGTACTTGTACCTATGAGTTTTATAACGGGTCAGATGGACATGAGCTTTACGGCTCTACCTCACGCTCTGTGTAATCTCTGCTCCTGTGTACAGGGCCAGTGCTTTTGTGACTCAAGGGGCAGCTCTACAGATAACAGGTGCACTTGAATATAAGGTAAAAAATAGTAAGATGGTAATGCTTTATCTGTATGGAAGGAGAATAACTATGTTCCTTGTCCATGCCAGCTGCCTAAAGCTCGCTTCTACCTCAGCATGAAGATCCCATTGAGCTGCTACGCTCCTTAGGAGTGCAGGTGGTTTTGACTCCTGGAGTGAAACAGGCAAATAACTTAAGTATATACATCTATTTTTACAAAAATTTATTTAGGAACATTTGGAATGGGGGAATGAAGTCAAGTATGAACAGATGCTGCTTCTGTTCCCCTGCTTTGCTTAACACTGAAGACAACTGGTAACATCTTAATTACACAAGTACAGGACAGATGAACAGTAACAAGTAACATTCAGTCTGTCTCTGTGCCATTATCATCTTCCTCGTCTCCACTTTGAGACTGCTCTTCTGTAAGGGAACAGCTCAACAATGACTTCTGTATGCATCGTCTTTCCTCTGCAATAGAGAGAGCAACAGAGGGTCATTACTCGATCTCTTCACATACGCTAGAATACCTTCAGTTTCTAAAGAAAGGAACATTATCAGTTTGAGAATTCAGAAGTAGCCCAGCATATCCTACAAAACCCCCCAGAACTGAGTGTGCGTGCTAGGAAAGCGGTGAGAGGAACTCACCTTCGTTCGTACAGTCTTGCAACAACATCAGCAGCTGTCTTCTGTTATACTGAATGAGAAATTTCTGACATGTTCTTATGGTACCTGTAGGAGTCACAAGAACAATATGTAACAATCCACAGAACCAAGCCTCTCAGAGCCGCTAGTGTATTTTCTGAAGATCATTGTGCCCAGTGACAAATGCCCCAGGCAACAGCCTTATTAATGCAAGTGCTGAGAAGGGGCTGTAGACTCCCTTTCCCCACTGTTGAGGCAGAACAATAATTTCTAACCTGTAGCACCCGTTGCTTGCCCCAAGTGGTTAATTTTCAGGATGTTCACAATACTATATACTTTGAAAATATATTTTGAAAAGAAAATAACGTAATAGAGAATTTGCTGCTCTGGTTTTGTTACATGTAGTGAAGACTGATGCAGAATTAATGAGGGTTTCAACAAAGAACCGCTGGTGTCCGTCACTTAGATCGGTGGGAAGCAGGCGAGGCAGTGACCCGTGAGACAGGGGGCCCGGGGTACCGACCTCCGACGTGCAGGGTGCGGAGGAAGCAGGGGCAGCGCTGGTTGCGGCTCTCCAGCTGCCTGACGAAGGGCAGCGCGGCGCAGAGCAGC